CACCTAATTATTCGCGGTCACGCAAAATTTTCGATTTATGAAAACCCAAACAGCGAGTAGACGAGCCGACGAGCAAAATCAGTTGGCAAGACGATTCCTAAGGAGATGAAAGTATTCTTTTCCCGGCGGTCCATTTACTGCTCAGGTGTTAAAGGAGCAAGAGATGGATTCTCAATTCTCCGAAGCCTTGAATGGAACGGACTTCGACTTGCATATAAAACAAGAAGAAAGGCCACACGATGACGAGTTCCATCTAATCAAGAACAACGCTAACTCCAAAGAGCAAAAGTCATTGATTAGATCAAGGCGATCGATTTCTACATCCCTGGCTAGTCAATGTCTCGTTATTAGGATAGAGCATGTTACAAAAAGAAGAAAACCCCGATGAAGACCATTCGCTACCAAGGTTGGAACAAAACCTAGATGCAGTCGTATAGGTCGATTCGTCCCACGACTTCATCATGCATCAATCATGATCACACCCGGAGAGCACTATTCGTGCCACGGATCACCAAGATTTTAGCTTCCGTTCACAATTCCACAAAATGCGATACCAGCAGCCATGGCATCCTTTGACTTTGACTTGGAGCAACAGTACAACTCTGACAATCTCATTTGGGTTTCCAGTACCCGCGGTGGTCTGCAAGAGCCACCAGCACTTGATTTCACTCAAGACAGAAATGGAAAGATTCGTGTCCAGCAAGTCTTGTCCAAATTTCAACAGTCCAGTGGAATCATTCAAGTAGGCTTTCAGCTCTTGCAGATACAAGGACAAGAGGTTGCCGACTATGAAGGTGGGGTTGACGAAATCCAAAAGGTGATCCAAGAAAGTCTTTCTCTTGAAATGGTCTTGTTGAGGTCTACTACTGACATCGGTAGCAAGTTGAAAGCTTCTGAAACATGCAACAAGGACAACCGAATATCCGTCAGCAACGACAACCGAACATCTGACAAGAAAATCCAAAATCGTCCCAAACGAAGAGGGACAATCCATACTCCTGGAGAAGGCTGGGTCAAGATTGTTCCCAAACCCATGGAAGATCCCTTTGCCTCACTCGGACAGCGATATAAATACAACAATATTGCGTGGGCGTGCAACACCCGGCATTCTCTCCGACAGCCCGTCCCTTTGCAATTGATCCAAGATGACGAAGATTGCAGTACCATCCGCATTCACCAGATCGATCCCAACTTCCAAGAGGCAACTGGGTTACAGGTAGGACAGCAAGTGGTGCAGCTTCAAGAAAAGGATGTTGATTCGTACGAAGACTTTCAGGAAATCAAAGACATTGTTCGAGAAAGCTTGAAACTCCAGTTGATTGTCCTCAGGTCTACGGCAGTGAAAGCAACTGAAAAGGGCAATTCCTCCACGACTGACAACACCGAGATTATCACCACCAAAGAAGAAGAAGAATCCATCTACACTGCCACGTCCAGTACTGAATTTACTGTGGATGAGTCTGCTGCTGAAGAGGAGTCACCGCACCAGGAAGAACCACAACCGGCTTCCGACCAATTACTGGTTGTCGTTGAAAATCCATCAGTAGCAGTCGAAGATCCATCATTGGTAGTGAAAGAGCCAGTGTCGATGCCAAGTAAGCAAAAAAAAGGTTGGTTCAAGTTCATATTCTTTCGCAAACGAGCCTCAGTCCCAGAGTGTAGTCTTCGATGATCCCTCGGCAATCTGAAATCTATACTGCCTGGATCGCTTTATATTCCATGGTGGAAATTGAGGATGCTCTACAATCTCAATCCGTCATGCTAATCATTCATTGGCGTTGCAAGACTAGAGAGGGACTTCGGCCAATCAACATGCATCGTTGCCAGCTTCCGAATTACAATCGCTCATCGAAAGTATAGAATTTTGCATGGTATTAATAGCTTCACTAGGTATTCACAGATGCGATATCAAATATTTGTAGCTTCGATGTAATAGCTGAGCAGTCCAAAGGGTACATACCGGTACGGTATGATCGTGTTACTGTCGGCGATTTAACTCGATCCGTGGCTATATGCGGTCTCATCATCTTTTTGGCACGCGCACGCAGATGAGATTCTACAGTAGCAGGAATCGAATGAGTCCGTCATCATTGTCGACGAAATTAAATCCACTACTATACCTACCTGTATACCTATTTGGATCTTCCACGAAGAGAATCCAACATCAACATCGCATCACCAGCCTCACGCTAATGAACCGCTGACAATGATGTTGCCAAATTATGAGCTCCTGATGATTTTCCAAGAAGTCAACACCATTTTAAAGTTTACCGCCCCTCGTTTTTTCGATGCCAGCTTCATCGTCGGGATTTAGAGACAGCCAAATATTGACATATTGCATTCATCGGTTCCGTCAAGGGGCAATCTGAGAGGACAGGTCTACATCATTCGTGCAACCAGAGCGTTGGAAAATGACGACACTGGGAGGTAATTTCTCAACGAGATCGCGCAAGGAGGAATGGGGGTCTACTACCAGCCAGACAAACATTGTTGTACGATGCATCCGATCCAGAGCAAGAAGACATAGTGCCACGCATGTTAGAGTAGACAGAGCAATGAAGTTTTTAGCGTTAGGCGGCGAAACGTGGTGAGTACCGGTTCTCTCACAATGAGGATGGAATTATAGTATGATACAAGACAAACACTAGAACATCCTTCTAGAGCCAGGTAGCGCAAGAGATTCAAATTGTCCGGTTTGAGAAGCGTGTTCAGCTGGCTGGAGCTTTAGTTTGAGCTCTGAGCTCTGTCACAAACTTCGGCTCTGCTCGAGACATCTACTGTGGCGAAACGTAGTGGAACGTCGCATAGCACCTGAACGGAAGTTTTCTATGAGCTGGTTTCCGCTTAGTATTTTGCAACTCGTTCCAGAATGCGTTCCAGACATCCGGTGTGGCGAAATATGGCGAAACATGGTGACATCATCGAAAAGAAGTTGTGGATAAGCTTGCCCCAGCTTGTTTTTGCTCCCACAGAATTTCCAATGGGGCGGCAACCATGAACAACCGTCGCGCTTTACCATCTGTCCATTTTATTCCCTGGATGTGACCATTCCTGTGCTGGATTTCTTCTCTGCTGGTTCGTTTTATTGCGAATTTCTGGCAAATGCGTGTTCAAATTTTTTTTTACCTGTATTCATGTTTCCACTGGAATTTGAACGCAGTCACTATCGGAACAGTTCCGGATCCTTTCGCGTGTTCTTTATGTTTTGGTACTATAATAATACTCATTCAATAAAAAAGGTTGTGACAAATATTGTTCCCACGGAATTTTGAAAGAAGATGTAGGCGGGATCAGATGGAAGCTTGAATTGGCAGGTACCCACGTGGTGCAGCCACGAACCAAAGACCGAACTACCATCGTACGCTTTAGTCTAGGCTGCCATGAAATAGTAGTGGTGGGAAGATGTGATAAGACAAACATGACGATGCCTAAAATAGCATGTCTAGTTGATCATTGGATTCTATCAAAGTGTGTTGCATTTGAGATAAATCGGAGGCTATAATTTGTTTACCGTGCATGATGAGCATAACACCATGTGTGACACGGCTTCGTTTTATGGTATGGTTGTAAACAAGAACGGAGATTCATGCTGCAACTGCCGTATCGTTAGACCATGGAAGATTCACTAGAAAGCCTTGTACATGGCGCAGGTGCATATTGCATCCTTGGTCCACAAAAACCATGAACAGTGATATCAAGTGTGCCAAGCACTCGTTTGGCATCACCTCGTTGCCCAGCTTTCTATCAATCACGACGATGTTGTTGATCACAGCAAACTGAAACAAAATGTTATGGTCCATTTCATATGCACTGTAGGCTAGCTTGTACAATCGTTTTGCTTTTAGCAGGGCTTGATGTTGCTGCTGTTCGATGGCAAGCATGTGGTGGGCAAGCGCGGTATTGAAGAGAAGAACGGATGTGATAATTTGTAGATGAATTCGTCGTTTGCCTCAAAACTCGACTCATCCTCCACCTTCGAAAGGAGCATGCATTGATCCAAGCCGTCAGAACAAGTAGAGGAGTACAGCTCATTACAGCACCCCCATCAGGGACCAGAAAATTCCAGGATTGGACATTTGGCCACTCAATTTCTGCAAATTTATATTGAAATAAATGACAATTCTGTTCTACAATATTTTCCATGTTTCCATCCTTTGTTTTCTTAGGGCAATATTCCGCACTCCTTTTTTGAAATAAGTATTGTCAATAATTGTGTGTAAAATTGACATTTTTACTGGCACCCGTAAATCGAATT